TATCCCAAGAATGGAAAAACAAGCACCAGATATATTCTCCAGCAAACTGGTATTAACTGAGTAGCACCTAAGTGGACACATAGGTGCTACAGTAATAGGGTATTGGGGAGGTGGGAGGGGGGAGGGGGGTGAGTATATACATACATAATGAATGAGATGTGCACCATCTGGGGGATGGTCATGATGGAGACTCAGACTTTTGGGGGGAGGGGGGAAATGGGCATTTATTGAAACCTTAAAATCTGTACCCCCATAATATGCCAAAATAAAAAAAAAATTAAAAAAAAATTCAACACCCTTTTATGATAAGAATGCTTAACAAAACAGGCATATGTGGGGCTTACCTAAAAATGATACAAGCCCTATATGACAAAGCCACAGCCAACATCCTACTGAAAGGGGAAAAATTGAAAGCATTCCCACTTAGAACTGGAACCAGGCAAGGTTGCCCACTATCCCCACTTCTATTCAACATAGTGCTGGAGGTCCTGGCTATAGCAATCAGAAAAGGGAGTGTAATTAACCCTTTGCACTCGGATGTTGAGTGTGACTCAACACAGTTAGCAAAAACTATAAAGATTAAAATTACTCTTTGAATGTATCAATAATTTGAAATATAAAAAATCCAAATAAATAAGTTTGTATGAAAATAAACTGCAGTTTTTTTATCCGACTGCCATACTTTGGAAAATCTAGGGTATTTAAAAATTAAATCCTGAGTAGAATAAAGGAATCTAGAAAAAAGCAAGGGAGTGCAAAATGTTAAATGCATTCAAATGGGGACAAAAGAGATCAAACACTCACTCTTTGCTGATGATATGATATTATATGTAGAAAGCCCCAAGGATTCTACCAAGAGACTCCTGGAATTCATAAATGAATTTAGTAAAGTCTCAGGATACAAAATCAATACACACAAATGAGAGCCATTCATATATGCCAGTAACAGTCAAATTGAGAACCAAATCAAAGACTCAATACCCTTTGAAATAACAACAAAGAAAATAAAGTACCTAGGAATATATGTAATAAAGAAGTAAAAGATCTCTACAGGGAGAACTATGAAACACTGAGGAAGGAAATAGCAGAGGCCATAAACGGGTGGAAGACCATATCACGCTCATGGGTCGGCAGAATCAAGATTGTTGAAATGTGTATACTATGCAAAGTGATCTACAGATTCAATGCAATCCCTATTAAAATCCCAACATCATTTTTCACAGATATAGAAAAAAATAATTTTATGCTTCTTATGGAACCAGAGAAGACCCCGTATAACAAAAGCAATTCTAGGCAATAAAGACAAAACGGGAGGTTCAATTTGACAAATTTCAAACTACGCTACAAGGTTACAGTAATTACATCAGCTAGGGACTGGCAGAAGAATAGAGTCATGGACCAGTGGAACAGAACAGAGAACCCAGATATAAAACCATCCTCATATAGCCATAAAATCTTTTACAAAGCAGATAAAAACATACACTGGGAAAAAGACTCCTTATTCAATAAATGGTGCTGGGAAAATTGGATAGCCATATGTAGAAGACTGAAACAGGATCTACACTTTTCACCTCTCACAAAAATCCACACACAATTGATAACAGAATTAAACCTAAGTTGTGAAACTATTAGAATTCTAGAGGAAAATGTTGGAAAAACTCTTCTACGAGTGTGATGCACACCATCTGGGGGATGGACACACTTGAAGCTCTGACTTGAGGGAGGAGGGGAGACAAGAGCAATGTATGTAACCTTAACGTTTGTACCCCCATAATATGCTGAAATAAAAAAAAAGAAAAGAGAAAAAAAAAACTCTTCTAGACATTGCCCTAGGCAAAGAATTTATGAAGAAGACCCCAAAGGCAACCACAACAACAACAAAAATAAATAAATGGGACCTGATCAAACTAAAGAAACCTAATCAAACCAAAGAAACTGTCACGAGAGCAAACAGGCAACCCACAGAATGGGAGAAAATTTTCACATGTTACACATATGATAAGGGGCTGATAACTAGAATCTATTTAGAACTCAGGAAAATCAGCAAGAAATCCTCAAACAACCCTATCAAAAAGTGGGCAAAGGACATGAACAGAAACTTTTAAGAAGAAGACAGAATAATGACCAACAAATATATGGAAAGATGCTCAACATCTCCAATCATCAGGGAAATGCAAATAAAAATCATAATGATAAATCAGTTATTTCCAGTGAGAATGGCCTTGATATAAAAAGTCCCAAGACAATAAATGTTGGCCTGCATGCGGAGAGATAGGAACACTCCTACACTGCTGGTAGGACTGCAAACTAGTGTGACCTCTGTGGAAAGCAATATGGAGATATCTTAAAGCAATACAAGTAGATCTACCACTTGAGCCAGCAATCCCATTACTGGGTATCTACCTAAAAGAACACAGACACTCTATAAAAAAGACATCTACAGATGTCATTCAAGTGCACTCGAATGTTTATAGCAGCATAATTCACAATCTCAAAGATGTAGAAACAACCCAAGTGCCCATCAATATATGAGTGGATTAATAAAATGTGGTATATGTATACCATGGAGTACTATTCAGCTATGAGAAACAATGGTGATATAGTACCTCTTGTATTTTCTTGGATAGAGCTGGAACCCATTCTACTAAGTGAAGTGTCCCAAGAATGGAAAAATAAGCACCACATGTACTCACTAGCATATTGGTTTAACTGATCAACACCTAAGTGGACATATAGGAATAACATTTATCCAGCATCAGACACATTGGAAAGGAGGAGGAGGGAATGGGTATATGCATACATAATGTGCACGATGCGCACAATCTGGGGGATGGACATGCATGAAGCTCTGACTTTAGTGGGGAGGGGGCAAAGGCAATATACGTAACCTTGACATTTCTACCCCCATAATATGCTGAAAAAAAAAAGCTAAGTAAAATATTTTTCCTGAGATCAGTTGTAGAGAAATCAAAAGTATGTTCTAAAATATTATCAAAAGTTGTGTTATATTGGTTCTCTTGGAGACTGAGGTCTACAGTATCATAGTACATTGAGAGGAATAGCAAGCAGGTTGTTGAAATGAAAGTGCTGATCTAACTCCATAAAACTTATCTGAAGTTTCCTGTTCTACATGGATTAACTACAACTGTTTTATCACTCCTTCTGCAATCTCTGATGGATCACTATTTTGATGAGACCCTAGGTATTTATTTAATGCATATGATGTTGGAAATATGTCTGAAAACCAGGCTATGTATTTTTTTTCTAAAATTACTCTTCAGAGATTCATCATCATTCTCTTCAAATATTTCATTTCTAAAATATTTTTAAGGTCACTTTTAAAATAGTTTTGGAAGACCAATGTTTGTATGCCATTGCCCATCACTACAATCACCAGAAAAAGTACACAGTCAATATTCTAGGTCTAAGACATAATTAGAGGTGAGAGACCAAGGTACTCCAGGTTGTGCATTTGGGCTGGAAATTTCCTCTCATTCCAAAAAAATAGGAAACATTCAAAACAAGCACTTTGCTGAAACAATGTCATATTACTTAAGACTGTGTAAAGTTAAGCATTTCTGATCTCTTCTAACAGGGCATCTCAATTTTTTTTGCATGTTTAAAGGTAAGAAGAAAAATGAGGTTCCATGTTTACTGGAAAACTTGTTAAAACTCAGATTCCTTGGCCTCACCCCCAGAAATTATTTCACTGGGTCTGGGGTTGGGTCTGAGAATTTGTGTTTCTAATAAGCACACAGGCAATGTCATGTTGCTGACTCAGGAATATTTTGAATGGCACTGTCTTTGAGAATCTAATAAATCATATAAACTCTCTTCTGAAAATAACACACATAAGTGTACAAACATTTGCACAGTCAAAATTCCTATAGATTCTGAAGCTCGTCTATCAATACCCAGGTTTAGAACCTTGGGTTTATAATTACTTATGTAATTTAATGTTTCTCTTTTTGGTGTTTCTATTGCCTTGCTCTTTGCCTTGCTCTGCCCTATACTCAGAAGGGCAGTCAATGTCCTTTATTTCATATGTATACATTCTTAAAAGCAAATACGTAGTTCCATGGGATTTATAAGAATTAGTAGCTAAAAATAACAAAAAATGTGGAGAGACCAGATTAACATTGACTTTTCTATATTAACATTTAATTCATAATTTGTTGAAAAAATTGATTCATTTTAATATTTATGAAACTATTGATCAACTAAGTCCAGACAAAGTCTCTCTTTCCAATATAGATCATGTTTGAGGACTTTAGCCATAGGCTCAAAAATATGAAGTTCATATGTGTATTATATTCATATATATCATAAATTATTATCTACTATTGATCAATTTACTACAGGGAAAAATTGTGATTATCACCAATGATGAAATTATGTAGCACGACTGCAGTCAAGCCTCACTAAACTTCTCATACTAAAATTCAGTGATTGGATTTTATCCACGGGTGTTTGTTTTTAGAATAATCTCTGATATAATCCTTCGGTTCAGTATGCATAATGAGGATGCCATTATCATCATGAACTAATGCATCTGAAAGTATGATATCATGCTTTCCATCATAGCAGATAATTATCCTTGTTAGTAGACATTACCCAGGATCTGATTCCCTCCCTAGAGTCTCTTTCATGAGGTTATTGTGGTGATTACTAAGACCTTGCCTAGAAGGTGAACACGAAAAGAAAAAGAGTTAACTTAGTAATTTTCCCTGATTTTTACAAATGCTCTCGGGTGAAACTGAAGTTAATGAGTATTCTGAGGTTTAAGGATTATCCATAGTTTTTTTTTTTTTTAATCATGTTTACTTTCCTTTGTTAAAGCCTCTAATTGAAGGCTGAACATATCCTTCTGCAAAACTAATCTTGTATATTTCAATTACCATAAATTCTCTGATAAAATAAAATTAGGCAAATAAAGAATGGAGTAGTGTCTAGTGGTAGTTTAGAACTATAATTTACATTACCTGGGTAAATTTCCATACCTGTGGTGGGAGTAATGGGAGTCTGATATAAGAAAGCAGCCTCGTCAGGTCTTGTTGCCTAGTCTGCACATCATGTCCCACCCACTGCATTAGAGCATGAAAAATAGTTTCTTCATTGGGCACATTGATGTCATCACTGCATAGAAGTTTTGAAATTTCATTAGCTGGAAGCAGGAGAAATTCTTGGTTCTGTATTACCTCAATGAAGTGTTCCTAGAAAAGAAAGTCCATCTACTAAAATTTTGCACTTGAGAAACTTCTCAACGAAATAAGCACATCAAAGCATTTCACTTTGTTAAACTTCAGAAAAGGCCAGATAAAGAGTTATATCATTTATAATAGGTACTATTGCTGTCTGTGACAGGGGTATGGGGAGCCTTCTGAAGCTAAGAGGCCAAATGCTTCCACTGGGAATTATTTATTGAACACAACTGCTTCACGGGCCACATGAGCAGAGTGTAGGACGCCATGGCAGTGCTTTTTGCTCCCAGCTGTTGTACGTAACAACAGTTCATGACTCCAGAAATGACCTGTCCAGTTGGTCTTTAGCCAAAAGCCCTAAGACAGGCTATCTTGAAAGCCTAGGAAAGTTAACACTGGCTGTGCATGTGAAGCAGCAAAAGACTGAACTCCTTTGAGATGAGAAAAAGAAATTGATGAAAAACTCTTTCCTGTTTTGGAAAAATATGACATTCTATTGACCCAGGGAAATGTATCCTTTTACAACAGATACAAATCTACAAATTCAGGGCAATCTAAAAGGTATTCTATGGAAGTTTTATTTATAAAAGAGTGGGACTGCCTTTCAAATTTTATACAGTATACTTGAAGTCTTCCTTGTGTCACTGTCTTGTCTTGTGTTTGGTCAAGTATCAAATTTCAAGCAGCTGTTTTTTTATTTTTTTTGTCAAAACACCATCATATTTTTTTTGTATGTTTTTTAAATATGTTCTTTTTCTAACAACACAATTATCATTTCTATCATTTTTCATAGTGAAGAACTCAAGTTTTAAATGCAATAGAATATACTTCTGAAATGGAGATAAACATATCTACTTGGCAATTTATGTAGCACAATAAACTGATATTCTAGGAGCCACTTAAGACAGGTTATGAATAATTGGGAACTCTGAACAGATAAAATCATTAACTTAGCTTTACTATTAGTTTAATGATTTGAAATGGAGTTAGCCTAATAGAAGAATTACCCATACAGCAATCATCATGGTTGAAAGACCCTTCAGAAATCTCTGATGCTGTAAGTTCCAAACTAATTCTATTTAGACAAGAACTCTTTTGTGTTTAAGGCAAGCAATTGAGAGAGAGCTGATATTCTTACTGTATCAGATGTCTCTGATTTAAAATCCTCTCACTTATACCAAATGATTGTGAAAGTACTACTGCTACTAATACATTACACTTGTACAGCACTGCAAACTTTACTGAGTTTGTCCAGAGCATTGTCATCATCAGTGTGATCTTATGAGGAAGTGGAATTACTCCAATGAGTAAGTAGGCAATAATGAGCTGTTTAATCTCTTGTAGCTGTAGATCTCTTGAGTAGGTGGCAAAGTCTGGACTCAAAGATTAGCCTATGAAATCATGTATACTGCATTTTGTTTGATACCTCAACTGCCTCTCGTAAGTGATATAATTTTTATTAAAGGGTTAAGAAAATATAAAACACTATAAAACTTATGGTTATCCATTACTGGTATTGTATGTAAAGTCTGAAACTGTGTTAATATTATGGAAAAGTATATCTCACTCTCCTTTCTACCTACTCTGCAATGAAAGAAAAGAAAAAAAAAAGAAAAAAGAAATGGGAGGAGAGAGACAGAAAGAGAGCAGTATTATCTTGGTGTGTAAGACCTACTCAATGGCTAATGTAGATCACAGTGCAGTCCATTAAATTTTGTTATGAATTTGAGAGAGTTAAGGAATGATTAAATGGCTTATATAATTGTTGTATTTAGATATAGTCAGAAATTAGATTTTCTGATAGAAGTTGTTATGGCTTCAGAATTGTGGCTTGATGAGATTCTTGAACATTGCCAGGCAATACAGTATATTAGACTAAATTTAAAATAAATGTATTTATTTAAGTATCTATATATGATACTGCAATATCAATATAGAGAAATGATTAAAGACTAATTTTAAATTGTTTGAATTTGGAATTATTTGCTCCTAATTTCAAGTAAACACTTTCTTCTATGCAACTTCCCAGGGAGTCTTCTTTCATATCTTGGGTTCACTATGCATATTTTTAAAATTCACACTTAAATTGTGAAATTTACTAAATGCATATAGCATATTTGCTAAATGCCTCATTGATTCAGACAACTATTTATATGATTGAGATGGTTAATTTTATGTGCAAACTTTATTCGGTTATAATGGATCCAGTCATTTGGCCCAACTTTATTCTGGGTGTTTGTGAAGGTGTTTCTGGATGAGGCCCAACCACATTAGGGAGGGCAATCTACTTTATTCATTCTACCAGTTGACATGATTATAACTGAATCCCTAAATTGTTTAACATTATTCTTAGAAATTAAAATTATTTATATTCTTATATTATCAATATGGTATTGCAAAAGCATTATTATAAAAAGACCTTTACCCATTTTACTGTATTTGCAGTAGATACTAAAATAACTAAAGAAGAGGGATTAAAGGAGACAACAGTATTGCATTTTTATGCACATCCTGCTTTAACACTCAGTTTTGGTCACATAATAGGAAAAGGAAGACAAGTTCACTTTGAGCAACAAAAGTAATTCAAGCTGTTTATCAGAATGTATTTTGTCTGCAAGGGTAAGATACCAGACAGGAAACTGTTAATACTTAGTTCAAGAATTTAAGTAATTTAACAGGAAGTTTTCATGTTTGGCTTTTGTGGTAGGATTAACCTTTGAACTACATAACTGCTGTTCATTCAGATTATATGCCATCTGCATTTAGGACACAGGAACATAAATAGTATAATTAAATGACATTTTAAAATGCCAATCTATGATAATGTGATTCTTCATATAAGGGCATTGTTTCAGGAATATGTTTCAAACTTCAAATTTTGAGCCATGACTTATGGTGGATAGGAGGGAGAAAGATTTACAAGAATTTTTTTGAGAATTCAAATTTCAGAAATTAAAAAAATATTCAGCTCTGTATAAAACTCTAAAAATACTCTATTTATATGCCTCTATATATCCTGAAAATAATACTACTTTTATTCATTTTTATGTGTGATTCTCTATTTTTTCCACTTGTAGGCAATTGCCTTTGTTTTTTAAATCTTAAATAACTGGAGCAATTTTCTTTGTTTATCATATTCATCTTTTGATTGAGTTTTACAGAAAGATCCATCTCATGTCATTCCCTGCTTCAGAGGTAAAAACAGCTCATTTTCTTCTTTGCATCAGGGAATTATTAGCACTTATGGTAAAGCTGTATTTAATATACTCTTTCCAGTTTTTCTTGCCTCCCCAATGTCTATATTTCATGTGATTGTCACCTGACTGAATAAAGATCATCTTATCCTATGTAATTTTTAAATAATTACCACATATGGACATGCTTATTTAATTTGTTACTAATAGAATTGAGAGGGATTTTAAGTTGTTTAAAGGATTTAACAGCAAAATTTTTTAACCAAAGCAAAAGTTTTTACTAAGACAAAATGTCCATTTAATAAAATTGTCTAATTTTGGTAGTTCTTAAGCTCTTACAATCAATATTGATCCATTAATATTAACTTTTTCCTTATTAAATGACATTTAACTTTCATTAGAAACCATAATTTGTACAATTTTACAAACTGAAGTTCCAATTCTGCAAAAACACCAAGGAATTAATATTTTCTTATTACTATAGAATATACTTGAAATATGTACTTGTACATTTTAATTTTTCCACTATTTTCATTTCCCTAAGTGTTGAGATTTAATTAAATCTTTCACTTCTAAAACTGAAAAACTTGAGTACAGCTCAACAAAATATTGTATCTAGTATATTATGTGCAAGTTAACTGCAAAATTATGAGTTTATATTGCTTATTAATTTTATCCCAACATTTAATACATTGCTACAAGTTACTTAGAAGCAATTGATTTTACCATAGTATACTTATGTGCCACATTCAGAAGCTCTGCACAGCCTTGGGCATCTCCAAATGATCGAATCCCTAAGCAATTTGAAGGGTGGAGCTGCTTTATGAGGAAATTGGAACAGACTTCAATGACCTGAGTCAGCTGCAAGAGACATGCTGCAGCCAGCAAATTTTCAATGGAATCTTCCTTCAATTGCAGGACACCTAGATGGTTTGAAAAAATAAAGATTAGTTATATGTCCCATAAAGTAAGACAAAAATATGCCAACTAGTTGAATTTTTCCATTTCCCTCTCTAGTAGAGCTATGCTTTTTAGTGTGCTGTGGCAGATCTAGGAATACATTTTGAGGCCAGTATGTGCAAGGGAATCTGTGTGTAAACACTAACAAGATAGCTGAAGGGAACCAGACTAGATTATTAAAAATAACTGTAGCAAATAAACAGTGAATACTATCATTGCAAAAAACAACAATTTGTTATTTCTTTATGATCTTAAGCTTGCATTTAAATCTTATATCAATCATTTCACATTGTATATGTACATGAATGTATGTTGTACACTTTAAATATATATAATTTTTATTTGTCAATCATAACTATATAAAGTTGAAAAAAACTGTCTTCATTACAAATCAAGAAAATTATGTCATATTGTATAAGGGTCATACAATTGGCCATACAAGTAACTGTCATTTGTGTGGAGCTAAACATTTTGGTAAATAAGAAAAGCAGTGAGCTTATACATCCTTTTTTGGATAAGAATAATATTGAACTCATATGTCCATTCTTTTGTATCTACATTTATTAGCTGGTAAGGATGTCTTTGCCCAAATATTACGCCTGGACTTGACCCCTGGCACTGTCTCAAAAAGAAGAAAATGTCAAGAGGCCACAAATTAAGAATTGCTTATATGGTTATTTTGCTTTGGTATAAAAAAACAGGTTCTGTTTGAAAATATCTGTAATGAATTTTTAAAAACAGGATCAGAAGCAGTTTAAGGAAGTTCATTTAGATTGATATATCTGTATTATTTTTAGAGCAAGCATTATTGATGACCTATTGCAAACATTATAAGTTATTTTTATAAGATACATTCCTATTTTTTATTGTTTTAGACAAGTTATAGATAAGTTATAAAGAAGGTTTCAAATGGCTTATATAAACTATAATATAATCCTTTAGAGTTTTTCTTCTAAAATACTTTAATATGCATTCTATATGGTTGCATAATCATAAGGAAAAGGTTAATACATATTGTGATATCCTCTATACTTAGTTAAACCTGTAAAATATATTGTAAAAAGGTACCATCCATCAGCAGAGTTCATTATGTTGTTACTTGTTCTATATTTTGAAGATGAGAGCCCTGCTCACATCTCATGAGACCTAGAGAAGTATGAACTATTCTTACATTCAGATATAAAAGTTCACCTGCTATATACATTGAAATCAGGCCTAGTCATAGGGAGGAATATTAATTCAGAGAAATATTTCACTTATAAAGGTGTAGCATATACTAATAAACCATTGTTATACGGTGTACAGTATTCAGTTACAAATATGCTTAAGAAAGGCTGCTTATAGCTGGATGCAGGTTTTACTCCATTAAAGAGTAAAAAGATAGACAAGCCAGCTGATTGAATTATCTTGGGCTACACATGATTAGGAAAAGAGGTTCACCAAGAACAAAAAGATACTTTTTCTAGGAATTGAAATGCATCAGTTAGGAGAAACAAAGTCCTTAAATGTCTGGAAAAGACAACAGAAGTCTTTATGAGGACTCAAGAGTGTTCTATTCTACCCCTTGATTTAAGGAAGTCTGTAGAAATTTTAGAACATAAAGGAAATTTAGGGAACATTTTTGTTTAAAAACTTGTCAGAAGAAAGGTGTGAGTTGAAGGAAGGGGGTAAGAAAAAGTGAAATTTGGAAGTAATTTTGTTAGAAAGTGGTCTTCAAATAGTGTACATATCACTAGAGGTGCATAAAACCTTTACAAAACACAGATACATTTTATGTTAATAGTTTTCAGAACCTCAACTTCCATACGTACTTCTCCTTAAAAATGATCTGCTTCCAAAACAGGTCTCATCACCTATGTTCACCTTTCCCAATGTCCTTTTCATAATTGTTTTTTTCTCACCTCAGAAAAGAAAGCCACATTCCTCACCTATCCAGAAGTGTATTATGCTACATTATAGGGGTGAGGCATAGAAAAAACTCAGAAATAAAAGTGTGTTTATATATATATATTTTATTGTAATTTGCTTCACTTAAGATTCACCCTTTCAAAGTGTACAATTCGGTGTTTTTTTAGTATATTCACACAATTTTGCAACCAATTTCACTATATAATTCCAGAATATTTTCATCACCCCTAAACCCCACACCTATTAACAGTCCAAATTCCCTCCATGTTCTTGCAACCACTAATCTACTTTCTGTCTCTATTAATTCTCCTGTTTTAGACATTTAATATAACTGGGATCACACAATAAGTGGTCTTTCATGACAGGCTTTTTTACCTATTAATAGTATAGTATTTTAAAAGTTCATCTATATGGCAGCATCTATTGGTACTTCATTCCTGCTTTTTGTCTATTATTATCCATGTGCATGTATATACCACATATAATATAATGTGTACATTCCTCAATTTATAAACATTTGGGTCCTTTCTATTTTTTGGTTATTATGAATAATGCTTATATAAACATTTGTGTACACATTTTTGTGTGGACATGTTTTCAATTGGGTATTATACCTAGAAGTGGAATTGATGGGTTATAAGGTAGCTATATTGTTTAACTTTTGATGATCTGCCATTTGTATACATTTTTAAATGGATGGTTGTTTGGCATCAAATTGTTATAAGGATGAGATGCCATTAAATACATTTAAAGTGAAAATGCAATAGTACTTTTTTGAAAGACATTAATATTTAAAATATATTAGGGATTATATACTTTAAAACTATTTAGAATTACAACAAATTTTAATCATTAATGGAAAATGTAAGGGAAGCACACAGTTTTTTAAAAATTCTTGTAGGGACAGTATAAACAAAAATGTTTGAAAACAGCTTTCTTGGATAAAGCCAGGAAGTAATATTTTAGTCTTTAGAAGAACCTAAGAATATATAATCAAATAAATGTATTTAAATACTATAAAACCCTAGAGATGAAATAATGATTCTGGAATAAATATCAAAATACTTTTTGGCCCTCAAACTCATTATGTTACCTTTGTGGTATAGTTTAAGTAAATGTGACTTAATTTTCCCAAAAGAAGACGTTTACTAAATCTCTACTGTAGAATTGGAAGATCATACTTCCACTTTCATTTTTACAAACAAGAATGTACCCACAACATTCCAGAAAGACATGGTCTTGTATGTTTGTGATAAATAGCTCTCTGTTCTCATGGTCAAGATATTTGTTCAACATATTTTTTTCCTTTTTGTTCTTTTATATTACTGAGTTTATTTATATATTTATTTTGAGACTGAGTCTCACTGTGTTGCCCGGGCTGGAGTGCAGTGGCATCAGCCTAGCTCACAGCAACCTCAAACTCCTGGGCTCATGTGATCCTTCTGCCTCAGCAACCCGAGTAGCTGGGACTACAGGCATTTGCCACTGTACCCAGCTAAGTTTTTCTAGATATTTGTAGTTGTCTGGCTAATTTGTTTCTTTCTTTTTTTTTTTTTTTTTTCAGTAGAGACGGGGTCTCGCTCTTGCTCAGGCTGGTCTTGAACTCCTGAGGTCAAATGATCCTCCCGCCTCAGCCTCCCAGAGTGCTAGGATTACAGGCGTGAGCCACGGCGCCTGATTATTGAGCTTAAATCCTGACTATGACTTCTTACTACCTTAGGAAAGTCACTTAACTGGTCTAGCCTTCAGTTTTCTCACATGTAGACTGGAAATAATAATAATGTGTGCTATATAATGTAGGGTTACTGTCAGTTAATGTATGTCAAACACTTACCTGTGTAAGCATACTGCACCAAGGAATTAAGTGCATTTGGATCTACTCCTTCCATCCTGACCTCTTCTTGTTTGGCTTCAAGCACATCATTAGTAAACATTGCAGCAAAATAATCAGACACTGCACTGAGAACCAACCTGGAGATAGGAATGTTTCATAGGGACTTATATCAATCCACAATTTAATTGAAAAGCATGCAATGCATTCTGTAAGTTTGTAACATCGGTGAGCCTCTTTTCTGAATAAAACGTTCACAATTCAGTCAAGTGTAGTGAAGTTAGAAGTAAGTAAATTGATCTTCTTTCAGAGGATTTGTCTGTGCCTTTTCTTCATCAGTCTCTTCATATACGGATCATACATGCTAATACTTTTTCAATATAGAAACTAAATATACATTTTCCCCAGCGTTACAATTTATAATCAATGTATTCATTCACTTTTATTCGTACTTGCTCTACCCACTGAACATTCTGTCTATGTAAGGATACTTACCGATGGGCTGGGATTCGGAGGTGTCCAGCAATGAGTAGCACATCACACAGTTGTTTCTCTTTCAAGTAGTTCTCCATTTTACAGAGAGTTTGCTCTGCATGGTTTACAGCTTGAAACTGCTCCTCAGATCTGGTCATATTAATTTCTTCAAGATGTTCTGTACCTAACCTGAAAAAGGAGTAAGGATGTAAATATGATTTATCACATCATTTTGTAAAAACTGCAATTTTTCTCCTAGTGAGTGTACAAATTTCCAGTGGAAATTTAGGCACATCAACCTCTAAAAGAAATATGTTGGATTGAAGTAAAATAAAAATATGCTTTCCAACCTTAAATAGTTCACTATTATTACTACCTAACCTTCCATTAAAGTGAAATGTCATGGTTAGTATTTATATCAGGAAAGGAACTGTAATTATGTATGTTTCATTGACAGGGCTAATGATGATTGTTATAAACATAATTGTCAAAATAATACCATCTTTCATTGACTCATATGGGTATCCTAATTATGTCATTAGGCATAATACCCTTATATCTGATTCTAAATAATTCACAAAATTTCATTATGTCCTAAAGCTTTTATATAATGAGGTACTCATTATACATCAAAAATATTTCTTGAAGAATCTCAAGCCTAAGTGTTCCAAAATACTTTTTGTAATGTCAATCCCATCAAGAAAAGATACATAGTTCCACTTATATTTCTTAGTATTTAGACAAATGTGATGGCTATTGAATTTACAATAATGAAAGCCATCTACATGTATTGTGTACATCACACAATAGAGGGCTAACAATCAGTAGATTAAAAATTGTATAGTTGGATCAACACACAAATAGTTTGCTTGTTACTTTTCTCATTTCCAGGCATCATTTTCTAACCATTATAGGATAGTATAGATAGGATTAGTTTTAGGTTTCCCCATCCCGAACTCAGTCTATCTTTCTTTAAGGACAATTTGTCCAAGGTGATATTACTCTCTTTGTCTAATGCAAATAAATGATTCTCTGTAAATATTTTTAATCTTTAAAGAATCTTTGGGATATCCAGTCACAATATTGTATTGATAATCAGAGTAACATGGTATGAATACCCTAAAAATTGCCTGCTGTCTCCCTGCAGGTGACCTCTTGTTTACTTATTCTAGAAATGAACAATCCTTTGGCACTATAGACTAGAAAACATTCAGGTTGCATTTAACTCACCTTATCCTAATCTTTCCTCTGCTTGAGTAATGGTCCAACTCACGTTAACTGAGTCAAGTAAACATTCAATGTTTAATTATTTTAGCTACCTTTATGTAACCACACCATGTATATGAGTGGAGCATACTCTAAAAAAGAAATATATTTGGGAGATTCTGCTAGGAAACAATTTTATTTTCTGAATTTTCATCAGCATAATTTAGTTAAGGACAAAAAACATATCTTCAATTCCAGCTAGTTTAGGATGTTTTTATCTGGGCATAGTAAATGTATTTGATATCAGAAATACATTTTCTAAATAAAATGCAGATTTTTAGAATCTCAATACCCTATAAATATGAACCATATTAAGTTCATTAAGTTTTACAAAGACAGAGGCAACTCTATCTTCTGTCACATCAAGAAATAAGAAATTAGTACTCAAATAAATATGAGTAGATCAAAATTTGTCATCAAAATACAACAAACATATTAATCTAAAGATATAAAAATAGAACAAAAATGATAATCAACTCTTGGTCATTGTTAAAGTAGAATGTAATTTAAAAAATAGCAAATCACCACCACCAACAACAACAAAACTCATCTGTTGAAAACCAATCTGATCAAATGCATTTCATGTAACCAAAATGTTTGTACCCCTATAATATCCTGAATTGAAAACAAATAAATAAAAAAAGAAAATCAATTTGATCTTAGTGAATTCTCAGAGCTCATCAACTTCAGTTATCTTGCCTCCATTTTAGATACTATATCAGATCAGATGTTATAATGGAAACCACTGCACAAGAGAATGCTTACCCCTTCTATTCATCGTATGATAACTACAGAGTTCAACCTAGGAGGCAGAATGATGGAATGAAAAGAGCCAATGATTTGAAATCATAATGCCTGGATTTAATTCTAGTCCTTGCTACTTACTGGATGAGTGATCTTGTAGAAGTCACTTTACCTTCAAAGCATCACTTTTCTCCTACAAAATGGGGATTATAATAATATTAATACTACCAACAATAATGCTTATGCCACAGGTCTCTTTAGAGGATTAAATGCAATAATGTACATGAAAATTCTCTATACAGATGTTAAGTCTTAATTTAGATTTAACTGCCAGGATGTAGTTATTTCTATTTTCATTTCCAATTTTTAAATATATTTTTAAAAATTGTCTTGAACTGTTACTTCTTTAAATAACTGACTTTAATTTTAGAGAAACTATAGATTTGCAGAAAATTTCTATCCATCTATCATTTATTTATTTATTTATTTAATCTACAGTTACAGGACTGAAATATCATTTATCTATAATAATATCAACTCATGGATATTTCTTTTATACTTTGGCTTATAATCCAATATTACTTTATTCATTTTGTTGTTTAAATTGTCCCAACTTTAGTCATTGTGAGGTCTTGTATCTGGCTCCTATATCCCTTGGACATATGCAATTATTATAAGGTTAGTTTTAGCATTTCCTTTCTGGCACTAAAAGGTGACCTGGGCTCATCTTGTGTAGAATTAGCTATTTCTCCAAGGAGTCTTAGTTCCTTTTATTGGAGAATTGTTTTAGAAGTCAAGATCTGGGCTCACTGCTACTGGGTGTCACTGATTTTAGGCTCTCTCAGCTGACAGAGCAAAGAGATGTATGTATATATATACTAATCCAGTAAATTGTGCTTTAATATTAAAATTTAATATTAATATTTAATTGTGCTTTAATATTTTCAAGTGCCAATTTAATGCACGAGGTATTTAGAATCTTTTGTGCTTAGGTGACACTTCACATGACTATCAGTAACTTAAATAAAAACTGGTTGGTTTTTTTTTTCTTAGAAAGAGCCTAAATTTAGGATGGCTCAGAAATTGAACATACGAATTAGAATTGAAGGCCAGCATAAAATCCCAAACAAGCCAAAACAACACAAAAATTGGTTGCCCCAAATACAATTATTCTTCTCCTAACAGTGTGCCTCAAATAGATGCTAACAAAAACAGAGAAAGAAATAAAATAACATGTTCTTAAACACCCATAGATTTGTACTGTATACAAGCCACATCATGTCTTCTAAAGAACTATTCAGTATTCAAAATGGGATCATAAGAAATTTAGAGGCCAAAGATTATTGTTAGAAATCTTACTTAAAAAAGCAGTTGGAGACGCAGTTCAAATGCTTACTGGAAACGTGTTTACTGACTATTTTCAGACATTAAAATTAAGGCTAATGAAAATATTTTGACAAATGTTAATCCAAATCTACATTGGTGAATACATATATTGAAATGTGCATTAAAATTCTATATGAAAATAATCCTTATGTGATAATATGAACTGGATATGTCTACACATATATGAGTCTTTCTTCATAATAGCAGATCCCAAAATTTTGATGCTGTTTTTTTATGTCCTCTCATTTGAATCTGTCTCATCCCTGATTTCCATGACATGTTTGACTTTTTCTTTTCTTTGTTTTTTTTTTTTTTTTTTTTTTTGTTGTTGTTGTTGTTGTTGCCTTCTCTACTGGCCTCTTTTCCTCATCCAACTTCCTAAATGTTGGGATCTTGAAGATTCCATCTTTAGCATTTTCTTTGTTATTGTAATTTAATCCACTCTCATGATTCATCTATCATCTAAATGCAAATGAGTTCAAATATTTATAACTATCCTCTGCTGAGCTATAGACTTATATTTCCAACTACCAACCTTGCACTTCTACAGGGAAATTTATCTTTCACTTTTAACTCAGTGTGTCTAAACACTCATTCTTTTTCTTCCAAAGTTTGGAGTTATGTGATATTCTTCCTTCTCCCTTGTGATTCATAATTAATGTTTTCCAAGATTTTTCCTATAAAGTGATTCATAAAGTGTGATATGGTGAAAAGAGCACGAATTTTAGAATAAAACATTAGATTCAAGCCCTATCTCTGCTACTAGTAGGTCTCTGACCATAAGGCTTTTCTTAAGGTCTTTAATGTTTTACTGTATTCCTTTGCTCCTATTCTCTTGTCTTCAGTCATCCACAGGTCTGTAGTCCACCTGCAGTTTTCACTCACTGTGCTCCCTCTTCTGTGGCTTCCAACCTGAGATCCAAATGAAGTTAATGTTTTCTTCTTAGTGCTGAGTAAGGCAATACTGAAACTAGTCCCTCAGGTAGCCAACGTACAGGGCAGAACATTGCAAAGTTCAATTATTTTCTTTGCATCTTGGGAAAGGAAACTGAGAAAGGAGCCTGCTATTTCTGAATCTCAGGAGGGGATATGGTAGGGCAAGAATAAATGCCACAAAATTTCCTACTGTTTTGAGTGGGGCTTTTTCATAATTAGTCATTTTTCTTGATTGTTAGATATCCTTGACTATTAATAGCTTCCAGAGCTCATACAAAACTATTTTAATCAGTCTATAACTGTTTATTTGATGTTTTCTGTCAGGGAACAAGATGCCTGGAGCTTGTTAATCCTTCATCATGCTGACATCAAAGAACTGTGTCTGATTTTTATTTTATTTTAATGAGAATATTGTAGTTTCCTATGTTTTTCTGCATATCAGTAAAACAGACATTATAAAAATAAAACTTTGTAATTTATTTTACTGCAAAACTATTTTGTAACAGATTTACTTTGAGAAAGAATGGAAGGCATTGTCTTCAAAATTGGGACTACCAATTTCGGCAGCCTCTTTGGAAAGATATATGGTAATACAAATTTAAAAAGTAAAATATACATACTGTATAAAGACATTCTTGGGGAGCCACAAACATAAGCCTCCAAGTTCTAAAGTAGAAAATTTGTGTCCAAATATATTAGGAAGTGTGTCTTTTACCACAGTTCATATGTTATATTTATAACATAGCCAGGTGATGGTAACATAGAGTATATAATTTAATATTTAGGCATTTCTTTTTCTAAAATATTTTCATAATATTTTTTTCTAGTTTTCTCTTGTCAGGCATTTGCCTTGTTTT